TTTAAATGATAAGAAATTTCTGAAAAAGGACTTTATTTGTTTGTCACTTAACTTTTGAACTTTTCATTTATAACAAAAAGATGTTTAAAATTAGATCATTACACTATGAATGCTACGTTTTTAGAAAGTCGATTGATGATAAATTGTGATTATAATTAGAATTTTTGTGTAAAAAGTATAATGAATATTTCGTTTTGATTAAAATTAACTCATATAAAACAAGTTTAGAGTATAGATTATCTAGCATATAAATATAGATTAATATTACCTTAAATTTTTCAAGATAATAATTTGAGCCTCAAAGAATAACGAGTACTTCAAATGAATATTTGCGCTCGAACTTATATCATGTGCCGCCAAAATAATTTAAACTTTTCAAGGTATCTATCTATCTGATCCTTTGAATTTCTCATTTGTATATTTGCATTCGAAACAAAAATAGATTGTCGTTATGTAAATGGTTTATTTTTATGTGAAAATGAATTGGATAAATTTGCCAATTCCATTGATTGATAAACGATTAATAAAGAAATAAAACAATCGGAATTTTTTTGTGTTAAAAATAAAATTTCGAATATTTGCACCCAAACATAAATTGCTTATCTTTACGTAAATTCTTTGTTAAAAAAATCATTTAACTTAAAATAGACTATTCAGGAATACGTATTGATTTGATCTTATATATAAATACATATATTTGAATTCTCTCTCACGTTTAAATTATTTTGAAAGATATCTTCAAATAATTTTTCTTTAACAATGTTCATCAAGTTAATAAAAGTTTACAAAAAGTTTCGAGCATTTGTCAGAGGTGAAGATAGTGACGATATAAATGACAATCCAAAGCCCCGTGTAGAATATGAAGAATATTATCATGGCAACCAATTCCAGAGCTACCAGGACGTTTTGGATGAATTCGTCAAAGAATGTAATAAAGAAAGACCGCCTCCATACGATAACTTTAAGCAGAATGATAGCGTCGAATACTTTGATAAAGAACGACTATCAATCAATTCAAATAGTATTAGCGAGGTTGGTGGTCCACCAGATGTCTACAAAATCCTTTTGGTAGGCGGAACTGGAGTTGGAAAATCAACACTAATTAACGCAATGGCAAATTTCTTTCGGGGTGGCACTCTTGATAATCTGAAAGTTGTCATTCCAACTAATCATCTCGATGCTACTGAGATAGGTATTAGTATTATATTTAAAAATATTATAAAAAATCACCAAATGTAGATAATGAATTTAATTTTGAATTTTTTTTCACTATTTCAGGATTCAGAAGCTCCGAAGCTAACAGCAATGATCAAACAAAAAGTCAAACCACAGAATGCCATACCTATTGCTTCAATCATCCAGAAAATAAAGCTCACAGATTTATTTTCATTGATACTCCAGGATTGAGTGATACGAATGGCGTGGATCAAGATGACAGGAATATCCACGCGATAATTGATACAGCAATTCGCGTCGGTTCAATATCGGCAATTGTAGTTGTTGCTAATGGAACTGAATCTCGGATGACCGCAACAGCAAAAAACACTTTGGTTCGCCTGGCAAATAACATACCTAATGCCATTGTCGAGAATAATCTTTTTCTAGTTTTAACAAAGTGTACAGAAATGAGTGCCTCTTTTTCTGTAAAAGATTTTGCGGCTGATTTTGCAGAGCCAAGTGTTAGTATTAATTAGTAATAACCACTCAATTTAATTAATTATGTATGCATGTATGTCTATAGATTACAAATTTCTATATTTTTTATATTTATTTAGGAAACTTTCTATGTGGATAACCAAGCTTTCTGCAATCATCCTAAAACATGGTTAAATGATGAAGATAAATATAAACGTCTTGACTCACAATGGAAGGAATCCGAAAAAACAATTAATGATATGCTAATAAAAATTTCTCGACTAGCTCCCATCCGAACTATAGTATTTAAACAAATGAAATCCCTTCGGGACGATATCAAATGTGAGATTCTTAGAACATCCCAAGTCATTGCAAATATTCAAATAATGCATGATCTCCTTGATGGTGCTCAAAAGGATAAGAAAAAATATGAAAACTATACAAAAACTGAAGAAGTCACAATTTCGAAAATTGTTGACGCTACTAATCATAGTACAGTTTGTATTACACATTTTAAGACGAACAATATCTTTTGTCATGAAAATTGTGGACTTAATTTTACTCCAACGCCTGGAGAACATCCATTTAGAGATTGTTATTGCATGAACGACTACAAAGTATGCAAAAAATGTGGATGTGGCCCTACGAGGTAATCTCTACTTTCACAATAATGCATTTTTATTTACTTGTGAATAATTCTAATTTTATATTATAAATTTTATTCAGTCATTTGCATAAAAGGATTAAAGTAATCAAAGAAACAAAAAAAATTGACAAAGTCCTTGAAGATATGAAAGCGAAATATGATGAGCATAAATCTAAGGCAGATAATTACAAAACAAAGCTTGCTGATCTCGAAGCTACTGCCAATAAACAATACACAAATATTCATAAATATTGTGCTGATCTTAGAAAAGTTTGCACTAGATTTAACTTTGTCGATGAACTTAGTGCAAACATTGAAGTTATAAAACTTGATGCAAGAAATATAAAAAATGTTGATTTGCGAGAAAAGTCTGAAGCCGAAATTAAAAAACTTGTAGAATTGGTGAACGAATTGTCTACAAATTCTGGTCTTTCATCCCCATAACCAGTGCCCCCAGAATAGTCAACATCTCTGGAGCCGTCTTGACTTTCGTACTTTCTTCTTACTTATATTATGATTTAATATATAAAGTTTTTTTTATGTAATTACTTATTAGATTATTTTATTGTATCATTTTTACATTGTATTATTTTTACACATTCAATTATATTATTATCAACATGTGCTTTTGTATTAAATAAATCGAGACCAAACAATAAATAAATAAATGGCTTTGTTTATGTTATTTATGACATGACGTAGTTCAAAAACTATTTCTTGAAAGATTGATTTACATTGAAAATCGTTTTCTAATACTAATTTCCAAGATAATAGTAATTCAACTTCAACCAAACATACATCTCTATCTCTCTTACTCTCACATAAAATTTGTAATTTAGTAATATTTGGGCGTGCAAAGTTTGATTTCCTATTACTATATCTTTTTTTTCTTTTTCGAATAATTAACATAATAATGACAGAAAATCAGGAAACAAAGAAATTTCGCATGCATGTTCTACAGGACCTATGCTACAAGCTACATCAGGGAATTTCGAAGTGTGTTAATTTACATTGCTTTTACATCTCTGTTAAATTTATATCAATTTTTAATGTTATTTTATAAAATAATTTAAAGTTAATTTCCAGCATAAAAATTTCAATTATGTTGTAACTATAATGAAGTTTAACAATATTTTACAAATTGTTATTAATTGAATAACTAGAGTAGCGAGTAATCACCACCACCACCTTTTTTAATATACAGGAAAAAAAACCAAATACAGTCAACCCCCTCTAAGTGTACCCTCCTTGGGAACATGTTACTATTTCTCATGAGCGTGCATTTAGAGAGGGTGTGTATAATTCTAATTTTTATAAATAAATATATATTATGTATCTAATGGAAATATTTCATATTTCTATACGAATTAATTAATTTGATTTTTTTTTGCAACACACTGTATATACATAAAAGAATGCAAAACATTATGCTTTATTATTTGTTAAGCATTGTCAATTGGCAGGCGATTTTTTAAATTCTAATATTGTTAAATCTTTATAAAATATCTACATCAGCAGAATAATCCAAATAAGGAATCCATAAATGATTTTTTTTTTCTGAATTGAAAAACCGAGCTGAAAATTTACAGTTTAACCAATTGAGCCAAACCTTAATAAATACTAATTCACATCATTTGTGTTTTCACCAGTAATATTATTGTCATTTATAATATTCACATAAGATAGAAACAGGGATTCGAAAAAATTTTGTTTTACTTATGTTTAATTGCAATTTACTATTAAATTTAATCAGATGCATCAATAATCACATGAATCAATATATAAAACATTGTAAAAAACAAACAAGACATCTCAGGTAGCTTCTTTCCCTTTACAATGAATAGGACATCGTAGACGGTTCCTCTTTCCTGGTAATTCCTCTTCATCATAAAAATTATAATCCACACTAAGTGGAGAAGAAGATAGCGATCTTAGTGTTTGTGGGGAAGGAAGTAATGATGGTTTATTGTTTGCTTAAGATAATTAATCAAAAAAGTAATTCCTTGCTAAGATCTCTTTCATCAATTGATCAAAAAGGCAATATTTCTTAAATAAATGATTTTATCTTGGTATAATAGATAATAATGCATTTTTTGTCTTCATGACAAAAAAAAAGGTAGATATTGATTTTTCCTGTAATTTTTAAATTCATGTTGGTTTCAACATGGAAGAAGATAGCAGAGAAAATCAAGCACAAGTTAAAAGAAAAAACAGAAGGCCTATCAGGTGTCATTGAAAGTAGAAAGGTTTATACCCTTGGAAAGAAATAAATACATTCATTGATCTGCAAACACAAAGAAAATGATCATTTGCAATTTAACATCTCTTGAAAATAGAAAATTCCTTCACAAAAATCAAGTTTAACAAAAGTTGATTTCATGACCTCCTTTACATCAACATCAACATGCCATGTTGACTTCTTTTTTCCCACCCAACATGATCACATCATGATCAATAGAAAGCGTTTATCACAACGTAACCAACTTCGTGAACTGCAAATTCCTTTTTACAAATAAAATTACCAAAAAAGACTCATTTTAAAAAAAGATCAACAATTAATCCTGAAATAGAGATTGAATGTTGCACCGGGATTGATTTTGTTGTTTTCTTACATAACATAAAGAAAAGAATTATTTGTTTAAACATCGTCAACTGACCATTTTTGTGACATTATCATTTATAATTAGGTTGATTCATTCATCACGGAAAACAAATCAAAATGTCAAATTTTAAAGCAAAAGGTGCTGTTCGTACAATGTAAGTTATATTAATAATAACAATGAGAAGAAGAACAACATGAAAAACCATAAATTATTATTATGACTTTTAAAATTAAAACATCTTTTGACTCCAACTAAAGTATATATTCACATTAATCTATAGAAAAAACTACACTACTGGATTGAGACGAAGATTGACAGTAAATAATGATCATTTGACAGATAGTACACCTACATATGAACATCCTAGTTTTATCTTAAAAACAGATTCAATAATTGAAAAATATTTTAATGAGAATGAAAGGTTGTTAAATACTGAAGATTTTTATGATGTAAAAATATATGTAGGTGTGGAACCAAACATTAAAGAAGTTCATGCACATGCATCTATAATATCTGCTCATTGTCAATTTTTCAGCAATGAATTGAGTAATGCAACAAAAGAAAATGGTTATTATATTGTTAAGAAGGCTAATATTAGTGAAAAACATTTCAAACCTATTCTCAAGTAAGTTCAAATAAATTTCTTTATTTATTATATTAATATAATAATTCTAATAATCTGTTTAATTATTTATTTATTTTATAAGATTTTTATATACATGTAAAATTGAATTTGAAAATTATTCTGGTGTTGAAGTATTAGAACTATTAACTGCAGCAGGTGAATTTGGTATTGAGTCACTTTATGAATATATGATGAAATACTTTATTGAAAATTGTGAAGATTATATTAAAAAAAATCCAGTTAAAATTCTACAATTGATTTATGCTAACAAAAATTTTAAAGAATTGAAAAATATTTATTTGGAAAAATTTTGTGAATATAGTGAAAAATTATTTGAATCAGATGAATTTAAATCATTGGAAAAACCAATTCTATTAGAAATTCTCAAAAGAGAAGATTTTTCTGTTGATGAGATAATTACTTGGGAAAATATTCTTAAATGGGGAGTAGCAAAGCATCCAGAAATTAATAATGTCAACCTTGAAGATTGGTCATCCCAAAATTTTGTTGATTTGGGCAACACATTAAAAGATTTTCTTTTTCTAATAAGATTTCAAGATATTTCTAAAGAAGATTTTTTTAATAAAATTATGCCATATCTCATGCTTTTTCCTAAAGCTTTATGGATGGATATTTCACATTATTATTTATTTCCAGATAAACAACAAACATTAAATTTATTACCATCAAGAATTTCAAAATTAAACTCAACACTTGAATCATCAACAATCAATAAAAATCTTACTTTGCTTTTTGCAAGCTGGATTGATAGGAAAAGTCCACCATACACTTCATTCAGTGAAGTTAAATATGAATTCAAACTTCTATATCGTAGCACTAGAGATGGTTTAAGTGTAGTTACATTTCATCAAAAATGTGACAATATCAACAAAACTCTTGCAGTTGGCAAAATACAAAGCTCGGAGCAAATAATTGGTGGTTATAATCCACTTGATTGGAATGCAAATGATTGGATATATAAGAATACAACAGAAAGTTTTATATTTAATATAACTAATATAAATGATATTAATACTGCACAATTTAGTTATGTTATCAATGATAATTGTAAACATGCAATCCGGTGTAATCCTTCCCGTTTACCAATTTTTGGTAAGGGTAGTGATATTTTTTTTAGTACAGATGGTAATGTTTATTATAGGCCAGTGACTTACAATAATATCAATATAGCAATGGTATCTGGCAGTAAATATGATGAATTGGAAGTTTTTCAAATAATTAATAAAAAATAAAATAATATACAGTATGTAAAATAATGGTGGTTATGATACAAAATTATTTTGTATAACAAACAATAAAATGTGTTGTTTATCATGTCGCCTTGACATCTTCTTATAATCATTATACATGCAGCCGAAACTATTATGACTTTGACATGCTGTAATGTCGTAATGTCACCAATATATTTAGGCATCCACTTTAAAATTGTCATAAGTCGTAATGTCATAATCATGTCGTAATGCAATTATTAGGTAAGACGGAAGTGCTGGTCAATCATTTTTATTTTGCGAACTATCTTCGATAAGATTGTTAAAGAAGAATATTTTTTAAAATTAGCGAGTGGAATGGTAATTTTTTAAAGATTAATCATAACTTTTGACAAGCGAAAAATTACTAATGACTATTATCTACTATTAGTACTTAACTAATTGACTAATATTTCAGAGTCTTGCTCATAAGAGCAGAGGCAGGAAGTTTTCAATTAATTCATTTCTGTAATAAACAAATTAATTCTTTTGTTTAATAAAACACTTTTTAGTCGGAAATTAAACAGTAGAGTTCAGAGTGATATAAAACTAGAGTTTCTGTTCGTAATACAGGTTCTTATTTGAATTATTCGTTTTATTCGAATAAACTTTCAATGTAATTTGAATACTCATAACTAATAAATCAAATAATCCGAATAAACCTTATTCGAATAGAAACTACATATAGAACTCTGAAGTTTTGAAACTCAATTTTGGTTATTTGCTTTGGTAGAAAGCAAAAGTTTAATTTTTGGTTTTTGTTAAGCATAAATATTTTTATTTTTGTAAAAGAATTTAAATGTATTTATTAAGATTGTTCTGCCAGATATAAAGTGCTGGCGTTTATTAACCAAAGTCATCATCACATATCGCTTTGTTATATTGTGTTAAAGTATCTTGCAAATGTACGGCTGAATTTGATCAGCCAAAGTAAAATAAGCAAGCAAGGAACTTCACTAAAACATTCATTGCTTTATAACAGGGCCGTGCTTTATTTGTTGTTGATTCTACCATAAAAGTGTGCTTACAGATTCGCCGAAGCTTTCTAGGTGCAAGAAAGAGGCAGCAAATTCGTAAAACAAGGTTAATGATGAGCATTGAATATAAAAGCTTGCAATTAATCAATTAATGTAACTCAAAAGTTAATTCAAACTTAACTATACATATTTTGGAAGTTGTATAACCTTGTCTTCAGATTTCTTTAGGATTACATACATTGATTATTACATTTGGTCTATATTATGACATTACGACCTAATAACGACATTACAACTAGTTGTCATTCTAGTTATTTAAAAAGAATGGCGTGGCCATTGCAACTTGGTATTAAATTTCTTTTGTATTTGATTAGCACAACTTCATTTTTAAACAATTCACATATTAATATTCGGAATAATGTATTTATACAATTATTAAAGGTTCATGACGTTAATATCTTATATAGTAGGCGATTTAGATGATTTAATAAAAAATTATTTCTGGTAAGCTTGGCAAATTAATGAAATATATTTACAGTAATAGAAAAATGATGCTAATGGTTATATTAATTATAAAGGTTGGTTATCAAAATCTGAACGTGACAGTCAAAACAATAATGATACTTCAAGTGAATTAAAATCACATTCCGAAAATCGTAAGGCACTTTATTAATCCTCATTCATTCCTCGTAATATAATGATATCTGGTGGTGATAATAACAATACTTCGAATCATTATTATATACCGAGAATGCAGCTTTTATTGACGATACTCTTCCTGTGAGCAATGATGATACTTCAATTGAGTTAAAAACACATACCAAAAATAATAGCATTGAAGAAATTATTCAATAAAAATGAGAGCACGGGGCGACATCATTTTGTAGAAAGGATTTGGATGAGTCAAGATAAAAACTGTATTAATGTTAGAGACTGGTGTATTCAGGCAGGTAGTGTCCCCTTCCATAATTAAAACAAAAATCTCATATTACCAACAATAATAGAAATAAATAATGATGCAATAATTATGCAGCTCATTGCAATCTTCGTCCTAAAAAACGCATAAATTATAATACCGGACCAGATCCAAGGAAATGTCATCGAACCGTAAGTGTAAACTGAAACATCAATAGTAGATATAATATTATATTTAATTTTTTTATATTTATATTTATAGATATCATTAACATTACCACTATCGCGAGCATCACCATCACTACATACATTGCCGTCACCATTATGGATACCAGATGAAGAAGACGAGTGTATATGATATAAAATATAATCATATTTTAGATATAATAATTTTTTTTTTTAGTTTTATATATATAGGAACAAACCAAATGTATAAAATGCACAATACATTGCCCATTGGAATGGTTTTTTTAATCTGTAAAAATAAAATAAATGTTAATAAATCACGGAATAAAGAGAAATAAAAAAAAATATAAGTGAAAGACCAAAAAAATTTTTTAATTGTTCTTATTCGAATATTCGTAAACACTTTCGAATATTGTAAATACTTTTGAATATTTGTAACAAACTTCACAAATAAAAAAAAATGACCAATAATAATATTGATAAAACATGGAAAACCAGAGAAAGTTTTATTTGGGATCATTTATCGAAGAGGGAGCTAATTGAATTTGTCAAGTAGAAATGCCTGCTTCTCTACAATGTCCAAATGGTTTATATACATATTATATAAGTATTCGAAAGCATTATAGGGTTTATATTCGAATATAATAAATCAAATTTTATTCAAACAATAATGATAATAAATAATGATAATAAAAATAAAAATAATTTAAATATAACTTTGTATAATGATAGTGAAAGGGAAACATTTGGATATTTCAAATAAAATGAATAAAGGACAAATAAAATAGCCAATTCAAATGAAACGAGTAACTCAATGAATGGGATAACTTGAAAATTAAATTGTTTTGTTTTACGAATAATTCGAATAATAATAATAATAAACAGGTAATAATAATAAATTGTACACTATATATATAATTATGAATATTCAAATTAAGGGGTCAGAGATACACTATTATTATTGAGCAAGGTATCATTTATTTTGAGCAATTTTTTCACCTTGTTCTTTGTGGATCTGATATAATGAGTTTCTCAATTACGGTCAAATCCTGATAAGCCAGACTTTTGGAATCACAAAAATAGGATCGGCTTATCAAAATCTGGTTTATGATGATATATCAAGTGTATATAGTATTACTATTATTTGCTTTTAAGGTAATTATAAACCGAATTTTATCATTATAAGACGAATTTTAAATTGGTCAACATCAAATCTTTAAGTTCGGTTTATCAAATCATATTAAAGATAATTTGCATCCTTATAAAGATAAAATCGGCCTATCGAGATTTGACTGTAATTTTGATAAGCCGATCCTATTTTGTGATTTGTTGTTTTTATTACAGTAAGTATAAATACTAATACTAATAAATCACATTATTAAATTTTGATCCCTGAAATTCTTGGTATAATGTTAATTTGAGCATGCCCCATATCGTATTTGTAGTACAATTGTTGCATCATGTTTTTTTTATCACATTTTTGTTTAAATCTAATTGGTTTATCGAAAATTGAATTGGTAAAAAAAATATCAATGTTCTCTCTTTCTTTGAAAAAAAAATGTTTAATTTACCACCTGAAATTTTGCTAGAGATATCTAATTATATTGACAAGAAGCATACGTTCTATTCTTGCATTCTAATTAATAAACAATGGCATAATATCAATATTCCATTCTTATGGAAAAACCCATTCCACTCTTATGGAAGTATGGAAATATTAATTAATTGCTTATTGGCAGAAGACAAGAAATTCTTGGCAGAACATAATATTAAATTAAAATTTAAACTGTTGAAAAAAACACCATTACACAATTATGCCAAGTTTACAACTGAATTATGTTTTGGGTTTCGCTACCCTAAATATAAGAAACTAATGGCTAGCTGTTTAGGAAAAAGATTAATAGAATTTATTTTAGACCATGCAGGATCTATCAAAAAGTTTGAAGGAAAAGGCTTTGATTGTCAATGGCCAATTGATTATCATAGATTCGATGCATGCTTTCAAAACCTTTACGAATTAGATTGCCAATTTTTTAAAAAATATGAACTTCTTAATAAATTAGCAAATACATGTAAAAACATTAAAGTTTTAAAAATAGATTACGAAGGAATCTACGATCATAATATTATCTTTTATCTGGTTCAACTAATTAGAGCACAAAAACAAATTAAAAAATTGGACATCTATTCACATAACAATATAACAAGTTTATCGGATGATCTCAAAGGCGCATTATTGCTTCATTCAAATTCAATAATTGATTATAAAAGCAATGGAAAAAATATTTCAAACAATTTATTGATACCAAAGTTTCAAAACTTAAAGATTTTAAGATTATCATTGTTTTATAATGACACCAGTTTAAAATATTTAAAATCTGTTTTATTACCAAAAATTGAATATTTATATTTAAAAATCGATCGCAAGCTATCTCTAATAGACTTGTCTGATTTCATCAAAATCAATGGAAAAACTCTTAAACTTCTAGATATTGATGGCGAAGTAAGTGTCTTTGGCGAGAAGAAAAATTTGGGAGAACTGTTACTATCAATTGGACAATGTTGCAGAAATTTAGAATATTTATCAACATTTTATTATAACAAAATAAACCAAAAATTGATTGAATTGATATTCAACAATTGTGTTAAATTAAAATACATTAAATTTATTACAATTGAGGTAACAAAACCCACATGGGATGTCAATAGAATTTTGGGTGCTTTAATACAAACGTTGCCAATAAATTTAAATATGTTGGATTTTAAACATTATGTTAACTTTGATAGTGAAAAATTTTTAGATACTCTGATGGAGAATTGGAAAGGACCTAAACCTTTAAAGATAACACTAGCAGCATTAATGAGAGGTTATGAAAAAGATAAAAGAGATCGAACAACAAATATATTAAAAAAATACCAAGATTTAGGATTTTTAAAATGTGAATTTACCTAAAGTTATTATGAAGACAAAAAAATTCATTGTTAGATTTTTTATTTTTTATTTAGATTTTAATTGGTCGGGTGAATACATGTTTATATATATAATTAAATAAAATTGCACAAATTATTTTTTTTTTAAAAAAAATAAATGTCACCACCTTTTAACTTTAAATACATTGAAGACTATGAATGTAAAACACTGTACAGGAAATGGCACAATACCAATATTCAACTTTGTGGAGAAATCCATCAAAATATATTAATTAATTGTTTATTGGTAGAAGATAAGAATTTACATGACATTAAATTAAGTTGAAGTATATAATTATTCCAGGTTTACGACCGAATTATACTTTGAAAGGTTTAGATGGTTGATAGTTGTTCGTGAAGAATTGAGTTTTACAAAAAAGATCGCTGGACTTTATTTCAAATTATGCAACTATCAAAAGGCTTGAAAATTGATTTTGCATCATGTATATTTAATAATTGTTTTCAAAATCTTTATTTACATTTTTATTCCTATGCTTTTCTCGATTTTTCTGATAAATTAGCAAAATTATTGGAATTTAAAATCAACCATGAGGGAATTCATTTAGATCAAATTAATTATAGCTAATTACAATCAAAATTAAAGAATGGAACTGAATTCGGATCTCAAAGAAACATTCAAAATCAATAGTAGCGCAGGAGGAGACATTCAAACTCTTTATTGATACCAACATTTCAAAACCTGAGAACCTTAAGATTATCATATTAGTTTGAAAATTTTATTTCCAAATATTGAATTTTTACATTTAAATATTCTTGGTTATCGGCCATTTTTATCAGGCTTGACCGTTTTCATTAAAAAGAACTCTTGAAGTTTTGAACATTAACGGTAAACCAAATAACAAAGAATATTTAGAAGAGCTTCTTTGATTTAATTAGTCAAACTTGTCAAAATCTAATGTACTTGAAAATATTTTACAAAAATACAGCAATTAATCAAAAATATTTAACAAATACATTGGATTTAGTTTGATTTTTTGGCATTATATTTTTGGACAGTGATAGAATATTTGCAACTTTGACCAAAATAATTAGACACTGTAAGATTGAGTCGGAAGCTTTAAGGAATAATTGAAAAGGGCCCAACCATCAAAAATGAAAATAAATAAAAATTGAATCAACAAATCTTTTTTAGAAAAATGGACTAACAAATTTATTAAAAATATATAGTTACCTGGGATTTTTTTATTAACATAAATCTTTATCAACATTTGTTATTGTTGGAAGGATCAATGTAATGTGAATTAGACTCGAATTAAATATTAAGTTATTAGCATATAATTAATGTGGCCTTTCTTTAGAAAAGGTCCATGATGTAAAAAAAGCAATCTTAATGCCATCCATCACATGTATGACTCTTTTGGAATATTTTTGAATTAGAGATCTTACCCATTTTACATCAATAGAGGTCGTTCAGAAATACTACATTACATTCTTTTTGTATTTTGTAGATAGGATCAGCTATACATGGGGGGTTCAAAAAGTTTTGACACTGTGCAATTTCCCATTTTGAGAATAATCATTTTGCAATAAAAAATTTGGATTTGACAATTGTGGAGAAATAATTTTTTCAATATTGCCTATTAACAATAATGGAAAATACTACACGTGAAAACCAATGATACTACATCTGGGTATGCTGGAAGAATGGTAAAGATGCTACCGACATTCATAGGGAGTTGGTCACTGCTAAAGGTGACAAGGCACTATCCAAATGTACAATTTACCACTGGATTGAGACATTTGACATCCCCGCAATGCTGTCACATCTTCAAACATTAATATTATTGAAGACCTTACCTTATAAATGACTACCCCCATATTACAATTAATAATACAGTCAAACCTTGATAAACCGAACTACCATAAATCGATTTCCGCTTTATAACGATGCAAAATTGGCTAACCAAATCATATTTAATAAAAATTATTTCGTTTAAGCTGAATTTTATTATAATTTCTACTTTACTTGATAAACTGAACTTAATGGTTTGTACAAAATAATAAAAATATAACTTTCTAAGCCGAATATGATCATAAACTGGTTTTAAAAATTCATCTTATAATGATAAAATTCAGTTTAAAAATGGTCAATACCCAACAATTCTTACCATGTCAAGTTCTGATAAAAAGACGAGGATATTATAACGTTGTAAGCCGAATTTATTTTGAACAATCAATAAAAATCGTTTTGTATCCAGGGCTGCGTAACTCAAATGAGCATTTAGCTAAACTGGCTAACTATTTAGTCATATGTTAAGTTTAGTCAAGATGATTATTACTAAATTAGGTTTTAACCTTTATGCTGCCAGCCCTGTTTGTATCATAAACCGAATTTTGATAAGCTGATCCTATTTTTGTGATTCCCAAAAGTTCGGCTTATTGAGGTTTGACTGTATTCAGCAAGTGGTTCCCATTGAAACCATCTTACATAGGGAAATTTCTGTCAGGAAGGTGTGTGCAAAATGGGTTCCTCACACTAAAATATTTTTTATTGGGTATTTTTAAAATTTAATATCTTAGTAACTAACATACCAAAAAAATTTAAACCTTTATTTGTTTGAAAGATAAGAATGTCTAATCTTTATAACAATATTGTCAAACCTATTACATTTAAAATCATAAAGTTATATGACTTTGTAACAAAAAATTCCAGTTGATTTTATTGACAATCTTTGAAAATTATTATTTTAGTAATCAATGAATTATAAAAAACAAACGATTTTTTATTTGAAAGAGGAGAAATAGGCCTTTTATTTAAAAAAGAATTCAGATTAATTTAATTCAAGGTTATAAAGTTACAGGTTCTGTGACAAAACTGTTTGAACCCCCCACATGGCCTTGATTGGGATTTTTATAGAAAGTGCATTGTACTAATACTCATTAATGCTCATTGTATTAAGTAGGTATTGTGAAATAAAATCTCATAATCATTACCATTGTCATTATCATCACTATAGCCTTCATATTTACAAGGAATGTTATATGTAATCATTAATCTTCCTCCTAAAATAAAATGTTGGAAAACATATCATCAAATACACAAAATGATTGTAAATGAAATTATTTAAACTCATATTCATATTTGTACAAGAGAAACAATAAAGCACCACCATCGTCAACATCTATATCCGTGTTTTTATTAAATACACAAGTAATGGTAGAAGTAGCTACTGCTCATACTTACACCAGCATTAAAAATAAAATATCATCATCATCATCATAATTGATTATGGAAGAAACTACTCGTATAAGCAGTAAAAAGAAATCAAGTAATTAATTTTTAATAATAATAATAATTTTCACTTACAATATTCTGAATTCTTTCAAAAACATAACTGCTAAAAAAACAAATCATGTCCTACCTAAAATATTCAACATGTTACTCATTCATTTCTACAAACAAGTCTAGAAACTAAGAAATACAAATTTTTTTGCACAAGATATACATACCTATTATAATGTCAACAAAATAAAATATAAAGAAAAATTCCTTCAACTAACACCATCAAAACTCACACACACAATACTAAGAATCCTCATCATGGATCAAATGTAGATACCGCATTGTCAATTGGTTCCAATTAAACTACACCAGCAAAAAAAACAAAGAATAAATTAGGAATAATATAAAAGATTTTTTTTCCTTCTTTAAATAAAATTTTTTTGTAATCTTTTATATAGTTTAAAAATAAATAGATAATAATAACCAATACATTTGATTAAAATAGAAACCCAGTTCTGGCATATTGTGTTGATTATATATATTCACTACTAAGTGGTCATTTGGCAGATAATGCTCTATTTACCAATTTGAAAAGAGGTATTAAAAAGCAGATAGTGGAATTGATTATCATATTCTATATCTTTTATATATTTATATAGTATGGTGCAGGCCACCTATAACTCAAAATAAAATCACCTGACTTCAAAGCACTAAAACTTTTGCATTACAAATTATAAAAAAAAAAATCCATTATAATGATAGAGTAGACAAAGGGAAATAGTAGCAACAGTTTAAAATTTTAATTGTCTAGAAAGTTTTTGAGTTTTAGAACAGCTTAAATTTCAGACATGCAATGTTATCATGTGATATAAATTTTATCCAACGAAATCACTTGATTTTTTCTTCAAACGCAATATATTATTTAAGGCTAAATCTTTCCAATTCACTTCTTCATCGAATTTCCCATGTAAGAGCCCCATATTTTTTAATGATGTTAGTTCGTTCCTAATAAATAACATCTATAAATATAAAGATGGGTTAATAAGGCATCATTATTTTTTTGCACAAATATCCATCCTAATCAGAAATAGTCGGCATCATTGTCTTAAAAAATCATCATAATAAGTATAATAAAAGGGATTCTCGCTGACAATATGTTACTTTTCAATCTTATTATACTTATTAATGTCTAGATATTTATTCATCACTTTATTATCCAATATACGAATATCAAAGCGGTAAAAAATACCTGATTAATATTTTGCAATGATTCAAGATGTCATCTACGTTCTTTATCCTTAATTTTGACACATTCCCATTGTTGAGTAATTATATTGGAAATGGTAATTTTATCTAAAGATGTGGTTTTTAAAAAGATATATAAAGGGGTGAAAATTTCAATTGATGGAGCAGATGAGCTAGACATGATTTTATTGTTAGTTTAGTGTAAAAAAAATAGTTTTAGTTCGTGTAGAAATTCTAAAAAGAATAGAACAGCTTCTTAATCAAGTTGACAATAATATCAATTTAAAATATAGTACAA